AGAAGGGTGGTATTAACTTTAACACAGGCAGAAAAAAAAAAAAAAGATGTTCACCCAACACAGATGAGATCATCAAATAATCCAGTCTAATTAGGATGTAGAAAGCTTGAAGGTTAAAAAAAAGCTAAAAATGCACTTGAGGTGAGATTGTGAAGTACCTTGAATAAAAGACTAAGAGACTTGGGCTTTAAGTTGGTGGGTCACTAAAGAATTTGGTAGGTAACTGAAGAGTTACCTATATGATAAATCTGATCCAAACTATGTATAGTAAGGTATATTCTGGCAGCATTGTTCTAGATGTATTGAGCAGAGGGAAAAAGAAGACAGTAAATTGAAATAAAAGAAGATCATGAATATCTGAACAGAAGGGGTACATGGTTATGGAGACAAAGGGATTAAAAGAATTAAGGAACTAGAAGCAACACAGAAAGGCTATGGACAGTGGGTAAAATATAAAAAGATGGTGGCTTTTGAATAGGATAAGTAATATAGTAGTCTTCAAAGAATTTACATTTGTTTCTTTGCAGAAGATTTGAAATTTTCAAGCCATGTTTCATTCAGATAATTGTTCAAATTATTTTCAGTTTCCAAGAAGAGTAAGTAGAGGGGGCGAAAAAGGAAAAAGCTGTGTTTGATGTTAGGGAAGAGAGTCTTATGCTGGAAAGTATAGGTAACACATATAAAAATCAGAATCAGGAATTGTATGTTAGCTGACATTTGTATAAATTAAAAAAGTGGACATTACATATTTTGTTTTCCCTTTATAGGACTGGTATACTTCAGGAAAACCTCATGTGTTTTGGCTCTCAGGTTTCTTTTTCACCCAAGCCTTTTTAACTGGAGCTATGCAGAATTATGCCAGAAAATACACCATCCCTATTGATTTACTAGGATATGAATTTGAGGTATAGTAACTCCTTCAACTCATCAAAATGTCATTATATCAAAGTCATGTATTTAAGCAAGAAGGATATGTAGAATTTATATATTTTAACCCATTATAAGCAATTCTACTTCTTTTCATTCTTTGTGTTTCATAAAGTATATATTTGTCTTGTTAATGCACTATAGTTTAACAAGAGTTTCCCTGAATGTGTTTTGAATATTTATCTAGGGTTTTCTTTATGATACTAAATTGTGTGAAGAATACTAGTATGACCCTCTCCCTTCAGGTTATTCCTTCTGATGTATCTGACACATCACCAGAAGATGGTGTTTATATCCATGGCTTGTATCTTGATGGGGCACGCTGGGACAGAGAAAGGTCAGTACTTTCAACTGCAAAGCCTTCTTCAAATGTGGGTGAATCATAGGTAAGACAATTGTTGCCCCTCATAACCGTGTTTTTTTTTAATCAATGTCCTCTTTTTAAGCAATAAGTCAAGTAATGTAATATCAGAATTCTTACCTAAATCATTATTCAGATTGGCACAAAGGAGTGATTATTTTTGAGGCCCAAACAATTTTTGATTAATATTTCACTAATCTGTCTCATTAGTAAAAAAGTTAGCTGAAATTATTTTCTTGCTTATTCTGCTGTATAACAGTTATTTTCTATTTTGTACTGTGAAGAACTGACTCAATTTTAAACTGACAGTTATAATAAAGTTCCCATTTAGTGAGTGGAAAACTATTTCACGCATTTTGATGAGATGATAAATAAGTATTAAGAATAAACATTCAATTTCTAGCTTCACTCTTAGAAAACTATCAGGAAACTATTCCCAGTTTCAGATAAAGAGGGATAAAAGAGAAGGGGAGAAATATTTCTTTGGAGCCCTGGTCTCCAACAATATATGTATAGGCATAATCCTCTATTTCTGAACGTAGGGTAAGACTTTGCTCCCAAGGAGATGTTAAAGGGGATATTAAAGACTGAGGTGAAAGACCAAGGTAGGAAAAATCCCATAGGAGGGAATAGTAAGGTAAGGTTTTACAGTGACAGTTCTGAAACAGGATCATGAGAAGATTCAATTTCACATAGTTAATTTGATTATTTCTCTTGTCTTTTTTCATCACTTTACTGCTAGTTTTCTTCATTTACTTTACCACCTTTGTATATTTATTTTTTCTTCCTTCCTTCCTTTCCAACAAACCGTGTAGACTGAGTTTTTGGAACATCTGTTTAAATCTTGATTCTAGCACTTAATAGCTGTGTAACTGAGAAAAATACTCAATATCTCTGAGCCTATAGTTTTTATCTGTGAAACAGGAATATAAATGGGGATAGGATCATTATGAGGGTCAGTTGTGATGCATTGTATCTGCCTCATGGGAGGCACTTAAAATATGCAGGCATTAAATTGGTGCAACCTCTATGAAAAGCAGTAGGGAGATTCCTTAGAAAACTTGGAATGGAACCACCATTTGACCCAGTTATGCCACTCCTTGGTGTATTCCCAAAAGACTTAAAAACAACATACTACAGTGATGCAACCACATCCATATTTACAGCACCTCAACTCACAATAGCCAGGCTATAGAAACAACTTGGTGTCCTTCAACAGATGAATGGATAAAGAAAATGTGGTATATGTACAAATGGAATATTGCTCAGCTATAAGAAGAATGAAATTATGGCATTTGCCAGTAAATGGATAGAACTAGAGAGTATCATACTAAATGGAATAAGCCAATCCCAAAAAACCAAGACCAAATATTATCTCTGATTTGTGGATGCTAACCCCAAACAGGGAGGTTGGGGAGAGGAATAATAGAAATAGATTGGACTAGACAAAGGGTAATGAAGGGAAGGGAGGGGAAGGGGAATATGAAAGACAGTAGAATTAATTGGTCATAAATTTCCTAGCCTGCATATGTATACAAAAACCAGGGTAACTCCACATCATGTATGACCACAAGAGTGGGAACCTAATAGAATAACTTATACTTTGTGTATGTATATTCTGCCAAAATACATTCTACTGTCATGTATAACTGAAATATATATATATATATATATATATATATATGAAGCAAAAACAAAAAAATCTCATTGTACTTCATAAATATATACAAATATTATATAAATCAAAAAAATTAGAAAGTTTAAAAAATAGTTAGATATAGCCACCAATGTCCATACCAACTAACTTCAAGTAGGGCTAATAACAAAACAAAATTTTTATGGTATAAATTATTTTTCTGACAAATATCCATTTCTATTTTAAATGAGCAAAAAACAAAGAAATAAAATTTGAAGGAACCATTAATAAACCTAGATCTTGATCCAGTTTTTAAAAAAATTAGCAGGCATTGATATTTGTGCAGTTTTATACTTCACCTTTCTAAAATTATATTTTATTGCTCTGTTCTTCATTGCCGTCTCCCACCCTTCTCCTCTTACTCTTTCTTCTTCTTTTCCTTTTATACTCTTTTCCTCTCTATCACTGGTCCTCTTCTATATTAAAAGTCAATATCTAAATAGCAGTCTATTTTAAGAAGCAAATTCACAAATATGTTAGCTTTTCGTTGCTGTAACAGATTACCTGAGATAAACAACTTAAAAGGAGATGGATTTGTTTTCATTTATGGTTTCAGAGGAGTCACTTGGCTTCCCTGATTATGGGCCTGCAGTCAGGCAAACACCATATCAGGGAGCATGAGGTGAAGCAAAGCTCACCCTAGCGCATCCAGAAAGCAGAGGAAAAGAGAACATGCACTGTGAGAGGAAGGGACCAAGGACAAAATGTACTATACAGAGTCTTTCTCCAAGTGACTTACTTCCACCAACTAGGCCTTATCTCCTGGTAGAAGAGCCACAGGCCAGCATCCAAGCCATTAGTACATGGCCTTTGGGGGACATTTTAGATCTAACGAAATAACTAATAACTTCTGTTAATTTCTCATTACAGTGGCTTGCTTGCTGAACAATATCCCAAACTTCTGTTTGACCTGATGCCCATCATATGGATAAAACCAAGTAAATATATTTTTAACAAAATTTCCTTGAATTTTAAAGAGAATAATGATAGATACTATTAACTGCTCCCCAAAATTAGTTTTTGCTCAAGTCTTTTAGGATCTAACTGAATTATAATATAAAATGATGAAATATCTGTAATGGAGAATATATTGTCCCTCTGCTTTTTTGGTTGGTTTTTTATTTGTATTTTTTTCAGTCCTGTGGATGAAACCTAGGGCCTCATGCATGCCAGGCAAATGCTCTGTCACTGAGCTACACCCCCACCTCTAATTTTCTTGATCATAATTAATAATAAATAAAAACATTTACAAATCACCCAATCTATCAAATATTTTCATTATTAATGTGGTTCAATTGTGAGAAATATGGCTGTAGTTTATAAGGGCTCCTGATATTTCATATCTGTGAGTTGTCAAGAGTTGGTGTGTTTTAGTATTTGTTTTAATAGCCTGCTAAAAACAAATAGAAACTTCAGCTTCTTCTAAATTATGTGTTTCTTATACCAGAGTTCTAAGCAGTTTATTTCTCCTTTTGAATCTCCTCTATTACCTATACTGTATTTTGTCCCTTCTTCCCTATCTTCTTTTGTTACTCCTTCCCTCACAAATTCTCTGGAGTTTTTCCATGCCTATTAAGTGATCAGAACTTTAAGATCAATTCCTGGTTCCTAGACTTGCACCATATAAAATAATTTTCCTTATTTTATAGCAATAATAATGGATCAGCTGTTAAAAATTTTTAAATTACATTTTACTATAAGATAAACAGTTGTTTTTCAGTGACCATGGCTCTTTTCCCTTTACTAAATGAATCTCTTTCTTTCTTTTTCAAGTTGAAAAGACTAAGATTGTGAAGTCAAATGCCTATGTCTGTCCTCTCTACAAGACAAGTGAACGTAAAGGAACTCTTTCTACTACAGGACATTCCACTAACTTCGTCATTGCAATGTTGTTAAAAACAGACCAACCCACTCAACACTGGATCAAACGTGGTGTTGCTCTGCTTTGTCAGCTGGATGACTAAATTGTACAATTTTAGAGAACATCTGAAATAAAATAAAATTGTTTTCACTTACTTTAAAAAATATATAAAACAAAGTGTCTTGGTGTCATTCTTTCAAATGGTCTTTATGAAAGGCCTTTGCATTGTTATCCTTTTCCTGATTCCACTCTTGATTGCAAAAGGCCTTCTAATCTGACTCCTCTGAGAGCACTGTCAGACATCTACCTGTGGAAAGAAATTTTGAAGTGTTATTTTAAAGTTTTAACTTTGAAGTGTTTGGAAAATCTTAAAGCTTTTATTTAGTTTAAGTTTGATATGTATATGTGAAAAATAGATTGGGGAGATTAAATGATAAAATTTGACTAATATTAGAAGATATTCCTTTCCCTAGATATTTCTTCAATAGTAGTTTATTTTCCACATGCCTCACTGAAGTTATTATATATGAACATTAAATACATATAGATAAGGAAAATATTAAAGCAATTTAGGAACCAAACCCCTTACTTCATACTTTTAAAATATTAGTTCCATTTCTCAATGGAACACAAAAGCAATAAGACGACTGCTGGGGAATCTCAGATTCTATACCCACAGTGGTGTTTGCTTCATATTTAATTGGAAATGTCAAGTGATCCTATTGTTATTTTCAATAGTTAAATATTCTTATTATTTAGTATGTACCCATAATATTAGTGTACATTGATTTTAACAATGAAAATATTTTAACAATTTTAAATTTTAATCAAAATTTTAATCAAAACCATATCATCTTCTGTAAGTTAGTTCCTTCCTGAGGATTCCAAGTACACTTCAGGCTGCAGGGTTTTTTTTTGTTTGTTTGTTTGTTTTGTTTTTAATATTTATTTAGTTGTATATGAACACACAGTATATTTATTCTTATATGGTGCTGAGGATTGAACCCAGTACCTCACACATGTGAGGCAAGCACTTTACCACTGAGTTACAGCCTCAGCCCCTCAGGCTGCAATTTTATAACCCAAGGAAAATGTAGGTACAGCTACCCAGTCAATTTGGACCACTGAAAAGTCACTTTAGATAATGTAAAATGTTTGACCTCTCTTAAATAAAAAATTAATTCTTGTTTGTAGTGGCTATGTGCATGAGCCATAAGGGAATGAGTTCTCTTTGCATAGCTAACCCTCTGCAAATGCTGTTTATTCCAGAAATAAGATGGTTAATCCTTTAAGTTTGATGACTCTAGTAGAGAAGAAAACAAGATCATGTTTTTAAACAGAGCTAAATTACATGTAAAAAAAAAAAAAGCAAGGACAATGTGCCAGACTGTCTTATGATCAAGTATTTATAGTAAAGCTATTTATAATAATCCTTACAGGGGAATGGATCCTAAATATAAATGAAAATCCTGAGGCGTTCATGTGCTAATCCTTAACAGTGAAAACTTCAGTACTGACCTAGAGGATATAACGAAAGGTAAAAAGTCTTTGGTATGTGATCAAACCTGTTCTATACTAAAACAGTAATGCTCTTTTAAACTACCTTGCTTTTACTACCACTATTTACCTGTTGTATTAAGACAGTACTATTAGTCCTATAACATGTTTATTTTTATTTTTTACCAAAGAAAATATAGCTTTCAGCATAATACTGTGTGTAGGAAATGTGTTCTTTTGGGTGAGTGTTGTAATAACTGAGAAAAACTGACAAGGCAAGTCTAAAATATATCAAACAACATAAGCATTTTCAAGTTACTTATGGCATTGACCTAAGTCTTATATGAAAGGCTGTTTTCCTAAGTTTTAAGTAAATGGTTACTCATAGAGACTTCTAATTTATGCTGAATATATGGCAGTCCAGAAAACTATTTTAAGTTTATGGAAAAAAAATTTAAATGAATATTTTGTTTTTCTAAGTTTTGCATTTTCTTTGTTTTTCAATCTTGACAACTTTCTAGTTTTCTAAATTTCACTTCTAAATTCAAGCAGTTGGTAATCTTTTCACAACTGGAAAAATATTTTTAATTCATTCTGACTTTAAACCTGCTTGAGTTTCACATGGATAATTACATCAGTGATGAAGACACAGACAATGACTTTGACACCCAGCTCACCATTCAGCAGAGTTTACAGGATATTTACAAGCCAAGAACAACCCAACATGCACCTGATGAGAGGTAATGGCTTTCTCATTGGCAGTGTGGTATTAAGTATTCAACAGTTGAGATTGTCGTTAACATAACTCTACTATTGTGATGAGAACAGGAGAGAGATTTGGAATACAAGGAATTTTATTTAAATTTTATATTATTTCATTTTACTTTTATGTTGGGATCAAACCCTTGATGGGGTAGAGTTCTGCCACTTAGCTACATCTCCTAGATAGGATCTGTCATTTAAATATGAAAAAGATATGATATCTGACCAGACCAAAAAAAATTTTGAAAGAATTCAGAATTTAATTAATCAGTAAAGACAACAGTTCAAGGAGATTAGCTGGAAATCTAGGCAAGGAGATGCAGTCTAGAAATCAGAATAAATAAATGAGGTTTCTGAAGGGTTAGAGAAGAACTCTAACACATCTTATTCTCATGGAGCTAAAGAAATACATAAGTCCAACCAAGATACATAGAGAATTATTTTACTGAGATAGATGAGGATATAGTCCAGTCTTTGATCTATTCAAATCAAAAGGAGGAATTATGTAAATTTAACCTTTCTGAAGATATTGATTCTATTACTACAATAGTAGAAAAGGACCAATGTCTCTCTCAGTGGAAAGAATCTCCCTGAATATGAGCAGTTCATGGTCAAGTGCACCTAGTCAAATGCTCTCTTGGATGATCAGCTACTTCAGCCCCCTAAGGTAGAAACCATTGTGTTTTTTGGAGGGTAATAAACCCAGTTTGCTTGGATTTGTGACCCCTCTTTGGCCTGCTGGAGGTAAACTGGATAAATGTCTTTTAACCCCAAGAGATTTTATAATTAAATATGGAGATGATAAAAGTACAACAAACATAATTTTTTAAAAAATGTAACAAATTCATGGAGCCATTACTATGTGTCATTCTATTTTAAGCACTTTGTAAATATCAACTCATTTAAATTCTGATTCTCACTGCTTCTCTGTGAGATGGGTACTCTTATTATCCTCATTTAGAAATAAGCAAATTGAGGCACAGAAAAATTAAGTGACTTACTCAAGGTCACAGAGCTCATTAAATGAGGAGCCAGTGAATATATAAAATTCACTCTAAAGCTTTAAATATTTTAATAAAAACAATTCAACTGCTAATAGTGTTTATATGTGTGTATGTGTGTGTGTGTATATATATATATATATATATATATACACACACACACATATACATATATAGATGACAGGGATGAAAATAAATTCCCTTAGACAGTCTGTCATACTCTCAATTTGGTTGGTTAAATTATCTTAAACACACACACATATTAGTTGTAGATGGGCACAGTACCTTTATTTTATTTATTTATGTGTTACTGAGGATCAAAACCAGTGCCTCACATATGCTAGGCAAGCACTCTACCACTGAGCTACAACCCCAGCCCCACTAATAGTGTATTTTATATTCAGACCATGCATAGTTTAAAAATTCACAACTTGATTATTTACTATTCATATTTTTGCTAGAATCACAATATCGAGTGGCCATTAAATTTTGCCATGTGATAGTGTGATATTTCGTTCCCAGGCAAGTTTGAATCAGGTTCAACACCACTGACTGAGATCCAGGCTGCCGCATAGTCCTTTCCCTGAAGAAGCTAATGGCCTTATAAATACATGAGAAAGGAGTTTCCCTAGAATGTGGTAAAGACACACCACATTCTACAAATAGAAGTATTTCTTGTTTTGTTTTGTTTTGGTGGTGCTTGGAGATCAAACCTAGGGCTGTGTACATGCTAGGCAAGTGCTCTATCACTCAGATATATCCCTGCCAGCACCAATAGAAATATTTCTATTTAGCCTCAGTCATTTTTTGTACGAGAGTTATCCCTGATTAAACTACTGCCTTTCCCTTTTCTTTTTGGTTTATATTAGATTCTTTAGTTTCCCCTTTAATTTTGGAATTACATATACATAATGTTTCTTTTTCCTCTGCAGCTTTCATTCCTTTTTGAGTGCTTACTATAAGAAGATAATTGAAACAATAGAGACAGTTAAGTACTCTTTTATACTCTCCCCTTGAATTTGTTTAAAATGTAATGGTGACAACTAGTAGCATTTTCTCTTCATGCTCAGGAAGCCTAGAAGCAGGTTCTTCCAAAAGCTGTGCCCTATGGAGGTCCACCATTGATGTGATGAGTCTGATGTGATTTTCTGAGAGAAAATTCTTCAGCACAACTTAGCAAAAGAGCTCCTGGGTTCCTTTATTGACAGAGATTTTTTTTTTTTTTTTTTTTTGGTATGTGGCAAGACATTGGGGGTGGGATGTTCACAGGCCCAGGTGTTGTGCAATGTTAGATAACAGGCCTTATTTTCTGTCCTATGATATTTTAAAAAAAAAGGGTGGCAATCTGATTGTTGTCTTATATACTACCTTTGGTGGTAGAATTCAGAAACAGTATGGGTTGCCTTGTATGTGTGTGAAATGTGAATCTGTTCTCATTTTTCTTGTTAATAGGTGAGGAAGATGCATTGTCACACTTAACCAAGTACCATTCTGCTTTTGATGAAGCAGATGAGATAGGGTGGACTCCCTTGCATAAGGCTGCAGTACAATTAAATAAGAATATTTTAGAAATAACCCTGAAAGGTAAACTCCCTTTTATTCTTCCTGATGCTTCTGAGAAATAAACTTAAAATTGGTTTTTGAATCTTAACCTATATGATATGATTAATTTATTTCAGCTTCAAAAACCAGTGTGTGGGAGCAAACCACCCATAATGGTGAAACACCACTTTTTCTGGCTGTCAGCAATTGCCTCTTAGAAAATGCCAGTTTTCTTCTTCTCAATGGCTGCAATCCAAATGCTAAGAATTTCGAAGGCAATTCTCCTCTTCTTACAGGTAAATGACTCATCTCTGGAGAAGAGTATGCTGCTCTGTCTCCCCTATGCCAACAAGTTTCAAAGACAGCTCTTTGTGCACAGATGTAATACTGTCATTTTGATCCCAGCTGACCAGACCCTCAAGAAGCTTTCTATAGATTGGCTAATGAGGTGGCCTGATGCCCAGTTAGGAGCACATACACATACAGAAAGGAACAGAGTCATGAAGCATAGGTGAAGGGCAGGCAGCTGAAATGGGAGGCAAGGCTAAAAACTATTAATCAGGAAGTCAGATATCTAGATTGCTTCTTCCACTCTGCCTGCTGGGACAGATTCCTCCCCAGCCCAGTAGAGTTCTGGAGGTTTATTCTTGAACAGCTTAAACAGAGGGTCTCTAGACCAGAGAATTTAGGTGAGAGTGGGAGTACTTAATTGAAAACACTGGAGGAATTAAGCAAAAAGACCCAACTCTCTTCCACAAGAAGGCATTCTCCCACCAGGATCCTAGAAAGCTGGCAGACAAGCCTTTATACTCTCCAGAAAGAGGATTCTCTGGAGAATCTGATCAGCCCAGGAAGATCTAAAGATAGTAACACTGGGGGCTCCCCCAACAAATGGCCCAAACATACCAACCAGTAGTGAAGCCCATAGTCTGCAAGCCCCACCCACCGTTTAGAATTTTCAACCAGAATATTTGTCCATGCTGTTACTCATGAGCAGATAACCAGACTATTTGAAGAAAGTCTTCAACATAGATAAATGACTTGGAAGAAGCAGATTATTTAGGAGAAATAAAATGTAAAGGAAATTATCATTAATTTCTTCAAAGAAATTAAAGAAATAAGGATAGTACAGGGCTGGGGTCGTGGCTCAGTGGTGGAATGCTTGCCTAGCATGTGTGAAGCACTGGGTTTGATTCTCAGCACCACATATCAATAAATAAAATAAAGGTCCATCAACAACTAAAAACAATATTTTAAAAAAGTAGGATACTACAAAAAATCCAAGAACAAAACAAAAATGCTCTTGATATTAAAAATATCAAAACAATTTTTAAAAAAAAATAATGCTAGAAAATGAAGTTTAGGAAAGCTTTCAGAAGATAAGAAATGTAAAATAGTAAAGGATAAATAAGAAAATTAGAAGGACAACCCAAGAGGAGCAATGTATGAATAACAGGAATGACAGAGCAAATAAACAAGATGGATGGACTCTATCATCAATAAAATAAGTCAAAATAATAATTTCCTAAAATAAGGAGCATGTTGTTTCCAAAGTGAAAAAGCTAGCTGATGAATTCAAACAGACCCAACACAATCAGCACTTTTCTTCAGTATTAGAGCAATTAGAGCATTTTCATAGCACCTTATAAATAATTATTAAAAGAATTCATAAACAACTCGGTGAGATCCTGTCTCTAAATAAAATACAAAATAGGGGTGAGGGGGCAAGGGAGGAATTGGTGAATGAATAATGAGATGGGTAAGTTCAGATGTTTTAGCATCTTGAGGAACCAAGAGTCATCATGCAAATGTGCAAGAACAGCATAAATGAAAAGATGATTATTAGAGAATTTTGGTTGACAAAATTGATCAAAAATAACTACCAAAAATTTATTATATGCATAATTAAACAAAACAAGAAAAGATATGAAAATATTAACAAAGATTTTACCGAAGAGATGTGATTATGAGTCTGTTTTCTTCTTTCTTTTCTGCATATCTAAATTCATGAACATGAACCTTTTTATTAAAAAAAAAAAGGCATTTTTAAAAAGACCCACACCTGAGACAAAGAGAAGCTTCCAAAAGTTTCCTGAGAGAGAAAAAATTGGAAATATATCATATACAAAAGATAAAAGATCAAAATAGTTTTAGAGTTCTCAACAATAAATAGATGCTTGATGAAACTGATGAATAGTTTCAGAAATTCTGAGGGAAAATTATTTCCAACTTAAATATTTAATTAAACTATTAAATCTGAAGGTAAAAACAAGATACATATTTTCAGACATCGAAGATCTCAAACTTTTCCCCCTCTTACACCATTAATGTGTTAATGATGTAGGATAGGTGAGGCTGGACTTAAGGAATTTCAGGAAGCAGTTTGATTTTAGCTGTAGCAGTCCAGACAGGGCCCATGCCTAAAATTCTCTGGACCAAGAGTCTGGAAATTCTTTTAGATTTATACTCAGTGAGATGATTACATGATAGTGGGTGGGGACATACTCTTTGTCCCATATTCTTAGGCCAGACAGAAGTTTTACAAGTTTGTTTTTTTTTTTTCTGCAGACATGGCAGAAAGAGGAAGCTACAAACCACAATGCCCTCTGCAGAAATTTTTGCTGATATCCTGTTGACACCCTTTGTAAAAATCTTTCTGACAAGAGAAATATATTACAAATATTACAAATATATTACAAATATTACAAATATATACATATATTACAAATATGATGGGGGTCTCTGGTCTGCTCCATTAATGAAATAAATATCCTACCAACATGGAAGTGAACTTGAAATGTCAAAGCTAGGGATCAAAGAAATACAAGGTCCATCCCAGATAGTAGGCAAAGGAGATCCCCCAAGATGATGGGGAACAGTACTCCTAGGATGGCAACATGTTCCAGGCACTGAATTCCAGGTTAGAACAGGTCAGAGGGGCTAGATAAGGTAACACACACCTGTAATTGCAGGTATATAATCACAGGTTAAGGCAGGAGGATTGCAGGTTCTAGACCAGTCTTAGCAATTTAGCAAGAGTGTTGGGGATTTAGTTTAGTAGATTAAAAAAAAAAAAAAGAATAGGTTGAAAGATTGCAGGTGGAGGTTTCTTTAAGACATGATGGAATTGGAATAAATGTCTTGAGATTTAAGACAGTTTAGAGAGTCTCAGGTTGAATTAGTGATAAGCCAAATTGAAAACTAAGCAAAGGCTGGGGGTAGAGCTCAGTGTAAAGTACATGCAAACTGACTAGTGTTTAATCCCTAGCACCACACAAACAAACAAATTAGGTAAATGGAATGTAAATGTAAGGCTAGTATTAACTACAAGGAAAACAAAAGATGTACCGGAAAGGAAACATAATTAAGGCCCAGCTTTTTGAATAGCAAATATAATAAAAATAAGGTAAATACTGAATAGTTAACAAAAATTATATCATAAAAAGTACTAGAAGAATGGTGGGATGAGAAATGTGAATGTATGGTGAGCATAAGAGAAAAAAATCTTCATTTTCCATGAAGTCAAGTTAAATCAAAACCAAAAAAAATTAAAAAGTGTTTTTATCTCCTGTTTCTCTTATTTAATTTTTACTTTACTAGAAGTATTCCTTGACTAATTCTTTCAAAATTATTTTGTAGGTAATCAATTTTTTGAGTTCTTAAATAAAAATCTAAACATAAAAAAATTAAAAAGTGGCAATGTAAGCAGGGTTATTTAGAAATATAATAGTTAATAGCAAAGAATCAGCTAAAAGGTGTTCTAGTGAAGGAAAAAGAGAGTTGAGAAAGGGTGGAGAACCCTGTAGTAATTGGCTCTTTAAGCCTTGCATAGTGTATAACTTTCAAGAAAAAAGCAAAAAATTAAAGAGAGAACATTTACAGGGTACTGCTGAAAACTGGGATTTGGAGGGCTCATCTTGATTTGTCCCAGGGTGCTTTTAGGCTTTGCGTTCATAGGGGAGAAAAATCATCAAAACACTGAATAGAAGAGCATTCTCTGAGAAAGCCCTATATAGCATCAGAATGAAAACTCTGGATTAGGTCTAACCTCTCTAAACCTCAGTTTTCTCACCTATAAGATAGATAATAGTACTCATCTTGTGTGTGTACAAGTCATATGTAAGAAAGCATTAAGCTGTGAAGCCGGTCAAAGTGATATGATGGTACGAACTGGTTTTCCTCTCTTGACCCCGGCCTATCTGGCATGTCAAATTATTCTTTTTCTGTTGTATCTAAACATTTATTTCCCTGTTCATATATATGGAAGATGTTGGGTTTCAGTGAAACAAGCTCATCAAGATAATTCTCAGAGACTTTAATTCACCAATGTGTAAAGTGAACTTTTTTAAAAAAATATATTTATTTTACATTTATGTGGTGCTGAGGATCGAACTCAGTGCCTCGTGCATGCTAGGTAAGCACTCTACCACTAAGCCACAACCCAGCCCCAAAGTGAACCTTTTATTTATTTAAAATTATGTGGTGCTGAGGATCAAACCCAGTGCTCTACCATTAAGCTGGACCTTAATTATGTAATAATAGTATACATAGGATTTCCAGGCCTTTGGAGATGGGTGTGTATGTTTGTTGCTTTCAGAATCATTTCTTCACAAAGAACCTCAAGGGACTTTCTGTACAACACTTTGGGAAATACAAGCCCAAACCATCATATCCTATGGGTTCAGCCACTCATCCAACATACAAAATAAAATTACATTTTAGTCATTTGTTTGCTGAGATAGGTTCTGTTGCTTTTTTTCTTCTTTTAAAGCAGCTTACAAGCATTTCCAGGACTGTACTGAATATGTAGGTTCCCATTTTCTCAAGAAAACAAAGATACAAGAAAACTTTATATGTATGAGCCAGCTAAGCAGCCAAAAGACAATGAATTGGTTATGGCTTATAGAAAAACAAAATAAATAGCCCATTGATATATTATTTGACATACAGTCTATTTTATGGGTTCCCTAAATTCATAATGCAGAGGCAAGGGAGTAAGTGGGAAGAGCTCCTTAAGAAGGCTGAGGGACACTAGCTGATATGACATTCTGGCCTTACCCCCATCAAGCATAATGCCCACCTTGCTTCTGATTTCTTAGCTGTTCTACGTGACTCCTATGACATGGCTACCTTGCTGATCAGCCACGGAGCGGATGTAAATCTACGATGTGCCAATGACAGGACTGTTCTCCACGAGGCAGCCAAACTGGGCAGACAGGACATGGTGAAGCTTATGCTGGTTTCTGGGGCACACCCTGACCCCCGGAGCACCTATGGATTCACTCCACTTGCTCTTGCTGCCCAAAGTGGACACACTGAAATTATGGCATTATTACTGCAGAAAGGCAAGATTTTCTATATAGTCAGCATACTACCATAGAGTAACTTCATCCCAGTGTTCTCTTCTTGATGGAGAGCTTCAGAATAATAGAAGTTAATATCTTATTTAAAACCAATTTAAATGTTTGAAATTTGTTTATTAATGTTGGATACAAGAAAGCCTAAAATAATCAAAGACTGGTTCTCTTATTTGATGATGTGATATAATTTCCTTAAAATTATTGCAATGCAGGGTGACCCTTATACTTAATGTTCCTTTAGTATTCTTAGAGGATAGTTGTTTTTTTAAAACATTTTTGTGTTGATGTCCTTTCCTAGAATCAAAATCAAAGTCCTTGCAACATTCTGTACATACTGTTGCTACTTATGCTAAGTCATGAGGCAGTTTAATCTGTCGCAGAATATCTTTGAATGTTAGGAAATTCTTCCTGATTTCTTCTCTTTGTATCCCTGTTCTCTGTTCTACTAATAGTCAAAACTCGAAGAGAAGGAGAAGATGATTTATATTTATCTTTTAAAACATATTTTTTTATTTTTTTTAATATTTATTTTTTAGTTGTACACAATACCTTTTTTTTTTTTAAATGAGGTGCTGAGGATTGAACCCAGTGCCTCACACATGCTAGGTAAGCATTCTACCACCGAAACTACAACTCCAGCCACTGATTTATATTTATTAAATACTTTCTACATTAAGCTGTTGCCTCATGTAATCCTTTAAAAAGTCTGTGATACAGATATTAATCTCACTTTGCACTTGAGAAAAGAAGTTCAGAGATGGTACCAGTTATAGGACTTCTCTTCAAACACACTTCCTCCCTGCCCTCCACATTCTAACTGTGGTCATTTTAGATAACTGGCAGGGACTCTCAAAGAACTTTGGCATTTACCAGGTGTTGTGGCATATACCCGTAGTCACAGTGACTTGGGAGGCTAAGTCAGGAGAATCAAAAGTTTGAGGCCAGCAAATTTAGTAAGTCCTTAAGCAACTTAGCAAGACTCTTGTCTCAAAACAAAAAAATGAAAAAGGGCTGGGGATGTAGCTCAGTGGTAAAGCGCTCTTGGGTTCAATCTCCAATACCAAAATACACACACACACACACACACACACACACACACACACACACACAGAGCAACAAATTTTCAATCCTTTACCTTTCAAAGAAACCAGGATCATGTGACTGGTGAGTTCAGTGATTAAGCATTTCCCTTAACCGCCTTACAAAGTAATTTACACATCGTAACTGTTTTAGTCAGCTTTCTTGTCCCTGTGACCAGAAGACCTGACAAGAACAACATACAGAAGGGAAAGTTTATTTGGGGCATGTGGTTTTAGAAGTCTCAGTCCACAGAGGGCTGACTGATTGCATAACTCTGGCACAAGGTGAGGCAGAACATTATTGTGAAAGAATGTGGTCATGGAAAGAAGTCAAGACGTGGCAGTCAGAAAAAGGAAGAACAAAATGTAAACTCCAAAGGCATGCTCCCAGTGACCCACCTCCACCAGCCACACCCTACCTACTTAGAGTTACTTCCTAGTTAATCCATATTACTGGATTAATCCATTGATTGGGCTAGGCTCTTATAATCCAGGCATTTCATCTTTAAAATTCATGCATTGCTTAACACATGAGCTTTTGGGGGACATATCTAAACCATAACAGTGACATAAATAGTAAATGGCAGAGCCAGCATTTGAAGTCATATCTGCCTGATCCCAAATTGTTAGAACAAGACAAGATGGTACCATAGAAATAAGGCCTTGGTCTGGAAGATCTATGTATGAATCCTAACCATCTTGCTTATTACTAGCTGTGTGTCTTTGGGCAAGTCATTTAAAACCAGTAAGCCCTTGTTTCTTCTTCTTTTTTAAAAAATATTTTTTAAATGTTGATGGAACTTTATTTTATTCATTCATTTATATGCAGTACTGAGAATTGAACCCATGGCCTCACACATGCTAGGCAAGTACTCTACCACTAAGCCACAATTCCAGACCCTAGTTTCTTCATCTTTAAAATGGAGATATTAGCACCTACTTCTGGAGTTTGCTGTGAAATTTAGAAATGATTATGCACATAGTAAACAATAAATGAAGGTATATTAGATTTCTTAATACATTCTAGGAGTGGGTTTCTTGGGTAGCCACTATACCCTGATGATTTTTATCTATCTATTCAAAAGTAAAGCCACTATATCATCTTTATGATTTATGATGTGTCCAGAATGCTCTCCTTAGCTCTCCTCATCCAAATGCTTTCTTCAGAGCCCATTTTATTGAGAAGACTTCCAGAACTGACCCAAACTCCTTTCTTTTATCTCTTAGCTCCCGTCACAGCCCCAGCCCTAGATCTTCTAGAAGGCACTTTTGCCTCTACCTGTATTCTTATCCACACCACTCACATGATACTTGGCATAGGTACTACAATTTATCTTTATAGCTATCAGCAATCCCCAATTTCAGTTTAAAACAATTAGTGTCTTTTATTATGAACAGTCCTTTATGAAGAAGTTTTAAAAATGCCCCTTTCCATCAAAACATCATTAAATGTTATGGTGATATAATTCAGTTGGTTATTACCATCCTATCTGTAAGCATATTGTGAGGTAACTGGGCTTTGTATACTGGTTTAGAAATCCACCTTTTATGAAAGTATGTCTACTGGAAATTTTTAGTTCCAAAAAACTTACAAAAATTACTCTGAAAGCCAGCTTACCTGTAATTTACAAACTGTTTGTATCATGTCCCTCCCCTCCACAATTAGTTTATAAATTGCTTGAGAAAAGAGCTACCTATTTGATTTGATTCTTAGTTCTTCACTAAAGTAGGTATGCATTTTTTGATTTTAAGATTGCTTATATACAATGGAAAACAATTTTTGCATAATGACTTTTCCTCTTAGGTGCTAATGCTCATGGTCAGGCCTCTGATTCATCTTCCATATTACTTGAAGCTGCTAGAGGAGGAAATCCAGACTCTGTGACTCTCTTGCTAGAGTATGGAGCTGATGCCAATATACCTAAGATTTCAGGCCACCTGCCCATTCATGTGGCAGCTGACAGAGGACACTTATTGTAAGTTAAATTATATTACTGTAAATAATAGAAATAGTAATAACTGACTTTTTTTATAAGCAACTTCTAGGAACTTTATATTTTTTCTCTGCTCCAACAACCTAAACCTTAAAAAGGAAAATCTCTGGACCTGCTGGAAATTAGTAAAGCCGAGCATCTTCTGTAGCTGCTGAAGACACAGAACTGCTTTCAATATGGGAAACTTTGGGTCTCACATGACTGGGCTAATACTGAGTTTTAAACCTAGACAATAGTTCCATTCAGTTTTACTTGCTATCTAAGCTGCCAGATGAAGGAATTAGTTTTTTTGTTGGAGGGTTCTAATTGCCACCTGATACTAATACTATATATATCATTAATATAAAAGAATCATAAACTGACTAACTCTGTATCTTGATGAAACCATCTTGAAATACTTTGGAATTCTTTCTCAGAGCTCTAAAGATACTGATTCCAGTTACGGACCTTGCTGCCATTAAGCGGAGTGGGATCAGTCCAGTTCATTGTGCAGCAGCAGGAGCACACCCTCAATGCCTGGAACTTCTCATCCAGGCTGGATTTGATGTGAATTTCATGCTAGATCAAAAAATTCGTAAACACTATGATGACCAAAGGAAATCAGCTTTGTATTTTGCTGTATCAAATGGTGACCTCTCTTCAGTTAAGCTGCTTCTGGGCGCTGGAGCTCTGACTAATCAAGACCCAGTTAACTGCCTGCAGATAGCCCTTAGGATGGGTAATTATGAGCTCATAAGTCTACTGCTAAGACATGGTGCCAACGTCAATTACTTCTGCAGAGTCAACCCTTTGCATTTCCCATCAGCACTGCAATACACACTAAAAGATGAAGTCATGCTCAGGATGCTGTTGAATTATGGGTATGACACAGAACGATGTTTTGATTGTCCTCATGGGGATAAAATTCATCCTTTCTATACTTTTGAAGGCTGGACATCTACAGTTATTAAAGATACTATGGTAAGTCCACAGGATTAGTTGTTTAAGACATTCATTATCCATAGTCTGGGAACTATAGTAATACTCAATCCACTCTCTAGAAGCTAATTGTTGGAAGACTCTAGAATGAAAAATACATGATAAAATATCATGTAGATATCTATCAGTAGAAAGATATAAAAGGTATAGAATCAACTCAGAGAAAAAAAGGGACTTTACCTAGAACTGTCAGGGAGTTTCACAAATGAACTGACTCCTGAGCAAGGTTTTAAAAAAATGAATGCAAACTGCAGGGCTGGGGTTGTGTTCAGTGGTAGAACACTTGCCTAGCATGTGTGAGACACTGGGTTCAACTCTCAACACTGCATATAAATAAATAAAGGTCCATCAACAACTAAAACCCTTTATAAAAAATGAATCCAGCCTTATATTTCAGTTATATTTTCTCTTTAGCTAAAATGTTGCTGGATTCCAAATACCTATACCCTTAGGTTTTTGGCTCTTTGAGCATTTGATTAGTTTTATTTGGTTAGTTTTATGAAAAAAGTTGCAGTAAACAGTTGACCCCTCCTAATTTGAGAGATTTTTCTCACAAGTTTTTTCTTACCTAATTGGTCACTTCTGTTTTCCCCAACTTGAGTTTTTCCCCTAGCTTTTTAAATGGTTGCTACTTTTCAGGTCTCATTTCAAGTGTCATCTCTCCAAAAAGGCCCATCTTAGGTAGTCCCCTTCCCCATCATTCTCTTATCATGATCATTTCTTTGTAGAATTTGACTTTCTGAATATTATTTTAGAACTTTAATGACTGTATCCCTTATAAATATCCTCAGTTTACATGTCTGTGCTTAGCACATAGTAGATGCTCTATAAATACTCGAATTCATATTACCAAAATTTAAAAAATAGAAATGAAACAGTAAATTGAAAAAGCTCCTTGAATCAATTCTGAAAAGTTACAGGCAAAATATTCTTGTATTTATTATTTTTAGGTGATTAATATAGGACTTAATTTCTACACCATTAATTCAGCATTAGGGTATATACCATGTGGTATTATTTCCTGACTGTTCAGGAACAGTCTCATTTCTCATCTGGACATCTTATTTAAGAGCATGTTAATGATTTAAAGGCCAAAACTGTTACTTTCCTTATATATCAGGGTTGGACTAAGATTTTTGAATGACAGAAAATTCCCAAAATAAAAGCTTTAACAAAATGTCAGCCAGGCATAGTGGATCACATGCAGTCCCAGCTACTTGGGAGGCTGGAAAGAGGGAGCAAGATAGTGAGACTCATCTCAAACCAAACCAAATGGCTCATTCCCTCTCATATCAAGGACAGAAGTAAATAGCCTTGTAAATGGACAGTGTCATGATTCATAAAAGCAGTTTGTATCCATATTACAGTCTGCAAGAAGAAAGGGAAAAGGAAGTACCACAGACCTTGCCTTTCTTGCATGGTATTTGGGGAGCTGCTGAGGCTTCCACTTACCTCTCATTGGTTAAAGGTTAGCCAAGTGGCCACACCTAGCTGCAAGTGAAGCTAAAAAGTTAATCTATTGTAGACAGCCAGGTGACCAACCAAGGGAGTTAACAGATATTATGTAACAATCTCTGGCACACCCTTATTACTTCTTATATGCAGAATCAGTAAATATATTTCTCCCAAATGTTAGGACTAAGAAATCAAATGAGGAACTGAAGACTTTAGCTTAGTATTCTTTTGATTACTGTGCTAAACCATAGATACTCTTAATGCTTTTCATTAATTTTCTGATTTTCCCCCTTCAGTTCTGTGAAGTAATAACTTTATCATGGCTGCAGCATCTCTCTGGAAAGGTTGTTCGAGTGATGCTTGATTATGTTGATCAAGTTCAAATCTGCTCAAAGTTGAAAGCTGTGCTCCAAAAACAGGGGCTCTGGTCAGAAATACATTTTATCTTGAGTGAGTATCTGTCTTATAGAAAACTTTTACCAAAATACTAATCATATTATTTGTTATATAGAATATTTTGTGTTAAAAGCATAACCTAAAGCAACCAAAAAAATACTATTCCTTCCTAAAACTACAGTGTAATCATTAAGTTGTACTTGCTACAATTTTCCAGCAGACAAAATCTGTTAGGTAATTACTTATAATTATATGTGGGTAACACTTTTTTCCCAATCCAATTAATTCATGACTAGGAAGGAACATTATAGACAGGAATTAAAAGGTATGACATGGCAATAAAAAACAGATAAGAAAAGATCTAAATTTGTCGGGGATACCAAATGACCCTCTCCAAACCAAATTTTTTCAAAGTTGCACCTAAGTCAATTAAAAATTTATTTTATCCCATTTCCCCCTGGGTGGTGATCTTTAGTTTTGCCCTGTCCCTGATAGAAAGAATTGGCAGAGGGTGTTGAGTGAGGTTAATAGAGATTTAAGTACTTAGGGTCTCACAAGCCAGATGCACAATTGATTTGTCTTTGGATTCCAACTTCATGTTCATCTGAAGTCATATTTTTGCAAAGTGTTGCACTGAGAATTGAAAAACTTTCCCTATTGATATTCCCATTTAATCACAGCCAATGCAAATCCTGGTGGTTTAAATATCAAATACATTTGCTAACTAAACCCTAAGATCATTTTTTAAAAAAAAGCAATTCTTTAATTCTTTCTCCTTTTAGATAATATCCTATTTCTTTCATTTTAGCAAACCCTCGTTCCCTAAAACATTTGTGCCGCCTAAAGATTCGCAAGTGTATGGGGCGTTTGCATTTACGCTGCCCTGTCTTCATGTCGTTTCTTCCATTGCCCAATCGTCTAAAAGCATACATCCTTTACAAAGAATATGACCTTTACGGACAAGGAGTTTTTACAGAAACCTGGTAATCATATTATTCTACAGGAAAAGGTATAATTTTGCAGCTTATTTTTTTCCAAATAGGATTTGTCTTCTATGATTCATATTTTTTGCTTTACCCAGTAACTAAAATCAGTCTATGTTCTTTAAGTAGTTTCTCTGAATATGGCCTTTCAACATATAAATGGCTAGAAGTCCAAAGTTAGTTTTAAGAAAAGCAAAACCCAACTAGTGAATATTTTAATTAACTAAATACACCAGTTTTTTGTTTTTGTGATTCTGGGGATTGAACCAGGGCCTGGATCATAATTCCAGCCCTATATACCAGTTCTAATTCTGTAGTGATCTTACATTAAGTGTATAAATGTGCTCAAAATAATGGATGCCACCTCTGACAATTGGAGATTCTTTTTAAATAGAGAAGTATTAGTGATTGTATTGAATATATACTGACTCCATTACATACCATGGAAGTAAACTATTTGTGTGCAGATTAAAACTTCATCATTAATAGGAAACACATATTCCCTCCTGCCTTCTTCCCAAAATTTTTGGTTATGGCTTACCACTTATTGGTTAATATAATTAATGCAAAGGGGATTAAAAAGGGTTTTCAAATGGATAGGCTTATGGTTTCTATACTGAACCTAGCCAGCTAGTGGACATGGAGGGGTTCAATGATTACAGAAGATGTCAGACTAAATTATTTCTTTATATTCTCTACTGCATGTGAATATAGAATGTTAAGTTCAATTTTTTATTTCTATGCATTCTAAGTTGCATCTAAGTTCAAGTTTCTGTATGTGGATAGTACAGAAAGAAATTGAGAAATATTCATTCAGTCACATCTATGTCAAGTTGAGAGAGCACATCAAAAGGACAACAGAGAATGATGTAGTTCATTTTCTCCACAGTTCCATTAACTATACAGCTTTGATTTTTACATATTTAGTTTTAACATTTTTTAGCATAATATAGTCCATTTTACTGCAACTAAAACTGTATGATTTCTGATGTAATAATTGATTCATGGTTATAAAGACTACTTCAGAAAGCAGAAGATTTAAAATTATATTTAGCTTTTTACATTTAAAAATGTGCAAAACTGGCTAACACGAAGTTTTGCTTGTTTTTTTTTTAATCTCATGTGCTTATAACGAAGTGGTAGTTTATATATATGTATATGTGTCAATATACAAAAATACATTTAGGATATACATGTACTTAGATAAATTACATAATTCTAAAATTAATTTCATCTAATCCCTTGACTTTCTGAAAGTATATACATTTTTATAAAATTCAAAAACAAATTAGAACATAAAATTCCCAGTAGAACTTAAGTTATATACTAAACTACAAAGAGTTACACAGCATGACTATATATTACTATTAAAACTACAGGTCAAGCTACTTTTAAGTTCAACACACAATTATTTGTCCCTTTAAATTAGAGGAATTTCTTTAAGTAGAACCCAACAGTTGTAAGTATACATTGTCTGTAACACATCTAGTGTAATTATCAAGAAAAGTCACTAATAATGAATTATAATTTGCTTTTACAACAAACTTCCCAATAAGTGACAACACCATTCAAAATTACTTGGAGAAATAAAATTCAGAAAATATATCAAATATTTTATACAAAAAAAGACTGTACAAAAATCAGACTTTATTATACATTAAAAAATCTAACAACATATTTCCTGAAGCCTTGTCAGCAAATGCCTATTTTGACAAAATGAAAAAATAAGTTCTCTGTCCTACATGTATACACCATGGTCACATAAAGGTGAGTTCCTCAAATCCAATTCTAAAGTGAAATGTTAACATGACTTAATGGTACACTGCATGAATTAACTATCAGTGAGATAAGAATTAACCAAGTCACTTACATTACAAAAATCACTGAATATACAAAGCAATTTCACACCTTAGTTATAATTTAATCCCCAGTTCTTCTATTAATTAAAGTAAATTACTTATGAGTACAGCCACAAGAGATTGGTTAAAAAAGTATACTGTGGTTCCAGTTTCAAATCTTTGTATTATTAATTAATGTAGAACAGAAACTTCATGAAAAAGGAGTAAATGCTAAAAATAAAATGAAGAGTTTGATTGTTACAATTGGTATATTTAAATATTCGAAGTACAATTCAACTGAAAGGAGGTTGTCAAAAATCAACATTTATATTTTCATTTTATTCAGGTTGCAAAAGGTTTTGCTAAATATGCTAGATTCTTAGTCTTTTTAACATTTGTAAGATGCAAATTTTAAACACTGTGGTTCCTATATATAACTCAGAATGAACTCAGATGCCTTTATCACAACATTTTATGCTACCTAGGAAATTACACACATCCTATTGTCCTTTTCCCAAAAGTAATGGAAACAACAAATTTAGTTTGTGGATCCTGTGAATTCTTTTAAAATTGCACACAAAGTAATCCTTATAGTCATGACAAGAACTAGATTAGATTAGCTTTAGGGACTTTGTTCAAGGTACCAGTTTCAGTACCTAATTAGCAAATTTTCAAAATTCTAGAAGGATGCACTAATAATTGATTTTTTATCTATTAATTTCATTACCATAGTTACAAAAGCACTGTTCACATAGGAAGCAGAACATACAGCAGAATTAGGCTTAATTTCTTAATTTCTTTCCTTAAAAAAATATGTGGTTAATTTCTAAAAATCATTAAATATAAATTTATGCCAGAGAAGAGATATCCCCAAATCTAATCCAACTGCCATCGAAGCATCTCAAGAGTTTTTGAAGGGGTTTCAGAGGAGATCAGCTATAACATTAATATGAAGCCCATGGGCAGCATTCTTTAAATAAAAAGGAGAGCTTATTAAACTCGATGCTTACAGGTCTGCAATAATAGAATAGCTCCTATAGTTTAGTAGTAATGGAAGAGAATTGTCATCTAACATTGCTAAATGTACTCATGATTTCTATTTGGCACTGGAATGCATCTGTCCTATGGACATGGGCATTTTTAAAATTTCTTTTAGTTATGTATGACAGTTATTGTGATAATTCTTATGAACATGACTTAAAGGGAACTACACACACACACACAGGAACTATAAGTCTGTCCAGCATCCCCACGTCTACCAATAACCTTAACCTCAGTCTACACTTTGACCCAGAGGGCTAACAATGGGTAGCACTTTGCTACCATGCAAAGGACCAACCAGGTAAAACTGCCTTCTAATGATGACCAACTTCCTGTGAGGCAACAGATTTCATGTGAACTTAGCGAGGTGCCATATAAAGAAAAGACAATGAAACTGAAAGTTAACCAATCTCAAAAAAGGTCTTAAAAGCAGGAATTTCCATGACTGATCAAGTACTGATCACAAATTTCAACTTTAACAAAAGGAATGATACAATATTTTAAAAGCATTCCCTTTAGTAGGCACAAAATAAACTTAATCAAAAAGTATTCCATAAATGTCTACATTTTTAATATATGTTTTAGTATCATAAGGCTTTAAGGAGTATTAAATAATCATTACTCCTAGTTGGCACATGGATAAAAATATCATGAAGCTATGTATAATTATCTCATTCCTACAGAAAACAATGTACATATACAGTATGAAATTGAGCTATATTTTGAGAGCTTTTAACAGATGCCATTTCTAATTCAGACCTAAAAAAAAAACAAAAAACTACATATCAAAGGACAAAAGGATTTTTCCCTTGTGAAATTAGTATTAGTAGCTAACCTACTGAAAAATTCTAAATGTTTAACTATGTAAGATATTTTACTCAATATATTTAACTTATATGTATATATGTATATATACTTTTTCATGTGGAACACATGAACATAACTTCTATAAGCCATGTTTAAATCTGAGCAAAGTAAAAGAAATTAATTTCTGGGAGAAGATAGGCAATAGAGAAATGTTATTTTAAACCTGTAGCAGGCTAAAATCCTTCCTTGGTCAACTTCCCCTACTAGCTATACCAATCATTCAATTTCTTTTCAGTCTTTCATGGAATCATACCTTTTACTCATTTGAAAAGTATTTACAATAGTTAGTGCAAACTATTCTATGCTCATAAATTAGTTATTTGCCTTTGTGGATATAAAGTGATGATTCAGTACTTTATCAAAATATGGGATTATGAAAATACTGGGCATATCAGTCTGAAATTTAAAAGATTACATTTTCTAAACTAAACTCTGGGAATTTTTACTTTTAAGCAGTAAACATAATTGGTATATAACTTCTTTTGAAATGTCATTTGAAAATGTCATTTGATTATCAGTAAAAATCATTTTACATAATGCTGAAAATACAATGTATCATCTTCTAACAATATCTTTACAAGCCAGTCCTAATGAACAAAACAGAAATATTTTAATGAATTTCAAAATCTTACTTTAATTATTACTGCTCTGCAGTAATAATTGAAGTCCCAACCTGAGAACTGAGAATATGATAATAAAATGCCAAGGGCTGTATCAATTTTGAACCAAAGATACAAGCTTTTTTCACTACTGGCATCAGATATAGTACATAAGAGAAATGTGAGCAATCCAAGAAAGTGTACTGCAATCAATAGTGCCACCTGCCACAAGTTGGAAACCTTAAGTCTAAAATCTCTAACGATTTTATACAAATAAATAATGTTAAAATATTTGCAAATTTGTAGAATTCTCTGTAGAAAGGGGTCACTTAGTTGAACACTTCTTCACTGCCAGCAAAATGTTCCTAATGAAAGGGATCGAGTATATCCATGAATATATGAATACCTAAGAATAAATTATTTCTGATGGGCACATAGGTATTTACAACACAAGATTAAAAGTTCAAAATTTGAAGGAAAAAAATGCTTAAGTATAATTCCTCAGCAATCTGTTTTAGGGAAATAAGTTTTGTTTAGACAAGTACAATGTTTTTTAAATATATTTTTTAGTTATAAATGGACATAATGTCTTTATTTTGTTTATTTATTTTTATGTGGTACTGAGGATCAAACCCAGTGCCTCACATGTTCAAGGCAAGTGCTCTGCCACTGAGTCCCAACCCAGCCCTAGACAAGAGGAATTTAATGTTAATGCATACATTATTATTTTTAAGGGAAAATAAAAAACAATGTAAAACTAAATCATCAAGTTCAACATTTTTTTACGTGAAGCTAAAAACAAGCAAATATAAAGTGTAGTCTCCTCCTTGATATTTCAACATAGTTGTTACCTTGTGCCATTTCACCATAGAAATTGTCAATTCCGGAAGGGGGGGGGTGTCAATCAAAAAGCAATGTAAGTTTATGCTTCTGACTCTCTCTTCTTTCCTTCTTCTCCCAAATCACTCTCTTCTGACTGGCTACTGCTAAGGACAACAAACTGCCCCTCACTACTGGCTTGGTTTGTTCTACTGGAAGCAGCTATCAACCGACTCTGTTCTTCCAAGTCCTAGTGGGAAAGAAAGAAAAGGAACTAAATTAACTGTCTGCAGTCAAATGAAAACTATGCACTTAAAAATACATACTTGAGAGCCATTTCCATCCTTTTGTCATAAAGATGTATGCAAAATTCTAGCAACCTTATAAAAAGAAAGGCTATGCCTAACCAATGCTACTACAAAGAAAATTTGGCATTATTCTAGAAATTCTGTAAAATTCACATTCAAACTTAAAAATCGCTGGCATTTTCCTCATTTTATTTTTTATAGCCAATATCTAATTCAGGCCATCATCTCTTACTATACACTACATAAGTAATCTCAATTTTCATAATAAAAGCCTCATAATGGATTACCCCATACCTCATGCCTTCCTCTTTTTCAGTCCTCTTGTCCAATTCATTTTGCTGAATCTGGCATCACCTTCCTTCAGTAAGCCTATCAAGGGAAGCCTGATGACTTCAGTGTCATCTTTGCCACTTCCCCCTTCTTTGTCCATACATCCAATCCACTGCCAGTTCTTACTGATGTGTTCTCCAAGTATCCCACACCTGTCTTCTTTTTCCATTCCTATTGTCAATGCCACAACCCATAAAAGGCTCTTAGTCTCCTGGATCACCTAATCAAGATTTTGTTTGGAAAATTGTGTAGCTTAAAATTATTCTTTTGTGGTCTTGATCCCCCAGCATTGGGGGGAAAAAAAATCTTTTAGTGGATAATGAATTGGCATTCCTGGCAACATTTAAAATTTAATTCACTTAAAGGGAAAAATGGTTTTCAACAATAGCAATTTGGTCCATAAAACCTCTCAAAAGAGTGGCTTTGAGGGCCTGGGGATGTGGCTCAAGTGGTAATGCGCTCTCCTAGCATGCGTGAGGCACTGGGTTCGATTCTCAGCACCACATAAAAATAAAGATATGTGTCCACCTAAAAAAAACTAAAAAATAAATATTAAAAAAAAGAAAAGAGTGGCTTTGATAAGATAACCCTCACAGGAATATGAAAGTTCTGGTATGTTTATTTAACAGGAAATCACACTACCTGTTAATATAGCTTTTGTGTAAACATAGCAGACTTCAGATGTTACCCTTTTCTGCTATGCTATGAATCATCTGATTATGAAGTGGCTGAGCAAGAAGAAACAAGACCTTCATTTGGAAATTCAAATCTGAAAGTCACAACCGTGAATTAAGTCTTCACAAACACCAGATAGAAGATTCAGACATTAGGGATGCATACCTTTTCAATCTGTTTTTGTTTACTGAGTTCTTTCTGTTGCTTCTCTTTTACTCTCTCTATTTCTTTTTGTTTTTCTGATGCCCTACGATCCTAAGAACAATAAATAAAACTAATGAATTAAATATGAAATAATTTTTAATTTTAGATATACAATTAACATGACCTTTGTAACTTTTTATACCCTTCTTTGTATTCATAGGTATGGAAGCACACAAGGCTTCATTCTATGGTAGACATTTATCCAGATTATAATTGGTTTATCAGCAATATGAAAACCACTTTTGTTATAATACTTCAATTAACACTCTTAGAAAATTAAGCATCTCTCAGATTCTTACCAGTTCAGCATGCAGAGCTATCTGTTTTGCCAGTCCAACAGAATCACAAATCTAAAAAGAAAAACAGTGTTAAAAACAAAAAGCAAAAAAACTCAAGTTCTTAAAGTAAAAATTAAGCACCCAAATTTTAGTTGTAGTTGGACACAATACCTTTACTTTATTTATTTTTATGTGGTGCTGAGGATTGAACCCAGTGCCTTACCCATGCTAGGCGAGTGCTCTACTGCTAAGCCATAACCCCAGCCCATAACTAGTTTTATAACTCAATATAATACACCACTCCAACTAAAAGCTGATTTAAGGATGTGCCATCCCCTAAACCAAGTCTTTGTATATTTTCTCCATTTCTTGGGGGGAGGGGTGGTGAAGGGTACTGGGGATTGCTTTACCACTAAGCTACATCCCTTTTACTTTTTTAAATTTTGAAACATAGTCTAAGTTGCTAAAGATGACCATGAATTTAGCATTTCTCCCACCTCAGCCTCCTGAGTTGCTGGGTTTAAAGTCATGGACCACATCTCTCACTGCTTTTCTGAGTCTGTGAGCTTCCACTGATGGCTCTCCCTTCACAAACAATACTTCTCATTATCTCAAATTCATTACTGAGGTAGTTCAGCCCACAAAGAATGAGAGAAACAGTTGCTGATGATACTTGAAGTTGACTGATTATAGGAATATATTCTATTCCCAAGATAAGCTAATGAAGGGAGAAGATTTTACCAGCTATCAATGTTGAGGAAGACATGGATCTATATAGTCAGAATGCCAATCCCTAAGCTTAGTGCTCTTCAGAGCAACATGCTTTGGTCAAGCAACTCAATCATACTAGATAAAATCTGGGAGTTTTTTTCCAGAAATATTAGTAAAAACTAACTATAACATGTATTTTACAACAGGAACATTTTGAAAAGTCAAATACCTTTTCTCCCTCATTGTTTGATTCAAATATATAGCATACTGATGACAGATTACTTTCACTTCTCCCTCCTGATGTCCGGAGAACAAATCCAAAAAGCCGCTTATTTTCCTGGTGTGTAGCATACAAAACTACACAGGGTAATGGAAACTGCCACAGAAAACATCAGAAGTAAATATGAAATCTTCCAAACCATTATAGTAGGAATCAGATACACCTTTTTTTTCTTTTACCGGCGATTGAACTTAGGGGCACTTGACTGCTGAGTCACATGCCCAGCCCTATTTTGTATTTTATTTAGAGAGTCTCTCTCTCACTGAGTTGCCTAGTGCTTTGCTTTGGCTGAGGTTGGCTTTGAACTCATGATCCTTCTGCCTCAACCTCCCAAGCCACTGGGATTACAGGCATGCGCCACCGCACTCAGCTCAAATACACCATTTTTAACAGACTGGTAATCAAAGAACAATTAATGTCATATTTGGCTTGGATTACCAAAGAGAATAAGGGTTTTATTAGATATTAACACATTTTACAAAATCAAATTCAATAATAAAACTGGTCTATTTAACAAATGATTAAACACTTGAGCAATTTCAAACTAGATAACTATAAAATAATCTTGATCACCTTTTAATTCCTGCTATTAATTTTTTATATGCTCCCTAACTTAGGGATTAACACTAAGTATCATACCAGATCATGTTGATTCTTCTACGTTACATACAATATTCACCTATAACTTTTTGGAGCTAGCTAGAAAATTAACTACAAAGTGCCTAAAGAACAAATGTAACTGATACTATCAGACCTGAATATAGAGAATCAGGATTATCAAGTTAATAAGATATGTGTATGCACAAAGGGACTTAAAATTACTCACTGTGAGTCTTGTAACTTGTGTCTGTGGATCAATTAACCTACAATAATTAAAAATTTAGCAAATTTTAATTACACTGAAATTATGTAAACATTTTTTCCTTCAAGTTTATTTAGGGAAGGTTTACTTACTTTAAACAATCACAAGTGACTAATAAATGTGATTCTGTCATACGAAAGATGTTATGGATGGCCCGAGCAGCTAAGATTTGGCGCATTGTTTCATAAACAACATCCGGATGATCATCTGATTTCACCTCCATAGAACCAAGGAATCGGACAATAAATAACTGATGAAGAATAGAATCTATAACAGAGCAAAGTACATTATGTATTTCCCACATTTCTTTTCCAAAAGAATAAAATATACTGTCTTCTTCCTTTTAGATTTTCTAGTAAAACCCCTAAATTTAGAAATAACTTATCCTGACTAAAGTGTTTAAGTTATAGCAAAAAAATAAGGCAATAAATACTTCAACAATGCAGCTCTAGGGAAAAAGAATTCCTTGTACTACTCTTAAAACTTTTCAATAAGTTTGGAAATATATATACAAAATAGCTATTGGAAAAATAAGAAAAAAATTATGTTCCAGAACCAGAAGTAAAACATCAGAAAAGCCTGAAGGACAGCTTAGGCACTGAAAATTTAACTATGAGATCAAAGTATGTGATATTCTCTAATTTTGTGTGAACAGCATCCCAAATCAGATTAAATTATGTTGTGTTATAGAGGAAATTTCAAAGTTTAAAAAAAACAAACAAAAACAGTATAGCAGAGGGACTAGGGTTGTGGCTCAGTGGTAGAGCACTTGCCTAGCATGCGTGAGGCACTGGGTTTGGTCCCCAGCACCATAAAAAGAAAAAAAATACAAGTAAAAAAAATAAATAAAGGTATTGTATTTACCTACAACTAAAAACAAAAACAGTATAGCAAAAAACAAAACAAAAAAACAAAAAAAAAAACAAAATAAGTGTAAATGACAGATTAGTCACACGATTTACTACAAGAAATAGTTTTTTTTAAAAATATATTTTTAGTTGTCCAAAAAGTAGTTTTAAATATAAGAAAACTGCACATCTGTTCTACCTTCAGTTTCAGATTTTGTACTTCCTCCAGATTCCCCAAATGGATTTGCCCCAGCCCCAGCCCAAAAAGTAGTTTTAAATATAAGAAAACTGCACATCTGTTCTACCTTCAGTTTCAGATTTTGTACTTCCTCCAGATTCTCCAAATGGATTTGTACGCCTGAAAAGTTTAGAAAAAAATATGAATAGTTACCATGAGCCACATGGAGCAGATCTAATTAATAAAAAAAAGTTTACACATACATTTTAAAAAGAAAAGCTCTACTCTGTTCTGTTAAGGAACAATACTGATAATCAAATTACTATACAACCTCTGCCTTCAAATTACTATACAACCAATGTTGCTGCATTTTAGATGACACAGCATGCAAGTTTCGCCATATAAAACAACAAAAATCAACATGATTATAAGCCACCTTGCAGAAGTTCTTCAATTTTAATAAGCTAGCATAGGGATACAATTAATTTTGCTACAATATTAGCTGCTTAAGAGAAATACCAGGGATTTCCTAAGACTGTAAGATCCTCTTCTTTAAAAAGGTTCTCTAGGTACATGTTGTGAATCAACTATAAAGATATAAACATTTTTTTTAAAGAGACAGTGAGAGAGGAGAGAGGGAGGGAGAGGGAGAGGGAGAGAGAGAGAGAGAGAGAGAGAGAGAGAGAGAGAGAGA